ACGCGGTAAAACGGCGTTCCCTAGTCACGCTGGCCATGTGGCAACTGAAAGTGTCTTCGGACAAACACTGGCTCTATGGCTTGGAAACAGGGATGAGCACCGCCCCCTAGAGTTGGACACAACTGGACTAAATGTCAAGGGGGACCTTTACCTAAAAATTAGCATGCTTAGCTGCTTAGACCCATCTAAGGGAGCCTCTTCATTCTGGGTTTGTGTTGGTTTGTTGGTTTTTTAAAATGTTTCCTGGTGTATCAAGATTATTGAACTAAATTACAGTCATCATATCCTGGCTGGATACACAGGCCTCCAAGAGACAGAAAATGCAAATGGAATTAAGAGTGAAATGAACTGGAAACCACATCTGAGTACTGTATCCCTGGAAAACTCCGAAAAGGTTCAGAATTGATTTGACGACACCTAGTTATTAATACCAGTACCGTATTCCTATTGCAGCTCAGTACTTTCATTTGAGGGAGAGAACACTGACGAGCATCATTCCTGAAGTACCAGATTTATTATTATTTTAACTTGATATGTGTTACAGACCAACATTCCGCAAATTGTTTTGAATTAATATTCCGGTATTCAAAGGCTGAAAATAAGACAGTACTCAGTCACAAAATAGTCCTGTAAGGTTACATTTCCTGCATTCGGTGTGAAATATTTGTCCATGTTTTTGTTAAGGGAATTTTATTGTGTTGGATCTAGATTGAGGTGCATGTAATTGGGTGCATAGAAAGCAGCTTCCTTATCCCTTCTTTGCCAAAACAGTTTCACCCGTGGCAAGACTGGTAGAATACTTAGGCATAGGGCTGGGGGATGAGCTGTGACACTGGGGGCAGGAAAATGTGCCTAGAAATCAAAGAGACACACACTGTTCAACCCTTCCATTAGCAGACCTTGCTTCCAACCCACAGTGTGTACACAAAAATCATGCAAGGCTCTTCAAAAGTAACATCCCATTTTTAAACTGACCAACTAGATGTCCACCTCTGGAGAGCTTGTCTACATGTGAGGTTGTTCATTATTGGGGTACAACGACATCTCCCCCTGAAAATCTTGTGCCCTCCACTTCTGGTCCATGAGATGGTTCTGTCAATATGTCATGGGTTGTTATGTGCTATCAAGTCGGAATCAACTTATAGAGACCTTAATAAGGCTTTCAAGGTAAGTGAAATATTTACCAGGTCTAGACCCCCAGAGAGTGTCCATGGCTGAGCAAAGATTCAAACCCAGACCTTCTGAATCCTAGTCTTTCACTCTGTCCAACACTCCATACTGGGTATCCCACAGATGTAATGGATACCTTCTATTATTTGGTCAGCTTCCAGTATTTAGGGAGCCTCTGACGACAGAAGTTCCACTCTGGTATGACATCTAGTAGTCACTGGTAGGCTTATCCTTTATGGATTTCACAAACAATTTTTAGGATGCAATCTTCTAGTCCCTAGGGGGATGTTATGGCTCTCTTTCTTTTCATGGAAGGAAGCAGGTTCAACAGAACTGACATCCCATCCGGTAGGGGTAGGTCTACCACTGTTGCTCCCCTGCACTGGATACTTTGATGGCAGAAACAGCAAAAGAGAGACAGATCGAAAACCTTCCCTGCCTTCCTGCCTCCAAACATGCCTCCAGAACTGGGAACGGGGGGTTGTTTTTAGAAGTGGGGGGGGAAGCCCACAAAACATAGCATTAGAAGGATGCTACAATGACTGCCCCCCCCCGTCTGCTTTCACATTACAAGCCCAGCACAGTGGATTTGATGGTTCATCTGTTGTAGCATCTCCACACTATGCTCCTGTATGGTTCCCATTTTTATTTTAAAAAATGTCCAGGGACAGAACAGGTCCTTACCTCATGTCTAATAGTGTGCAAGTTGTGTCTATATCATGTGGTATTGGAGGAATCTAGAAACATTAGCTCTTGCCCTTCCATTGGACTATTTCAGTGACGTGGAGAGGGGGGATTTGCTGGTTGGGTAACAGCTTATCCTCCATATTATTTTACCCAGGCTTCGTGCCCTGGAGAGGACACTCCAGCTTAGCATACACGTCAAAACACGAGACGCTGTTCCAAGTCCTCCATACAGAGCACGTTACCATAATCTCTCGAGACTGAAGGATGCCTATGAGTATGAGAAACTTTGTGCACAAATCCATACAAGAATAATAATCGTTAAGGGGGAAATGGATTGATAGACTATCCATCATCCCTGCAATAAACTTCTTGTGAGGAAGGGAGGGGTTGAGGTTCTCTTAATCAGGGTTTTGCTGACTGTATCTTTACGGAATTATCTGCATTCTCTTTAGTTACTTTAATGGAACAGTGTGCAGTAGTTCCAGTCCCATTTGAAATAAGAGAAGAGAGTTTCCAGAGGAAGAAAAAAAGTACAGTCACAGTTTTATAAAAATGATCTTAACAGAGAAACTGTGCAGATAACAAAGTCTTTTTTTTTGCACCTTTGCTAGAGCAACAGGACATCTACCACCTTGTTTCTTAGAAACCAGTTAATGATACACCTGGGTCATAAGACATAAGCAAAAGAAAAGATGCCTTGACCCTTTAGAAGTGAATATGAATTTTTTTTAATAAAACCAATGATCATTTCTATCCAGAATGTGAAGGGATAAAAAGATACCAGAGGTGTGCCGGTGTTGGGTGGGGATGTCTTGGGTTCAAATGTAGAATGAGTTTTTAAAATTCCCATAATGCCTTTGAGCCCATCAGTATCCTCTCAGCCTACTCTGTCTCTCTACACAGTAATAAAATAATTCAATGTCTCATGCCCCAAGGTCCATGGGAGAAAAGTAGAATACAGTATACAAAAACAATAGATCAATTGATTTGTAAAGAATGCTTTTAAATATAAATTATTACATGTATGTTACAGGAACTTATTCTAGAAGCACAGTGATACTATACATTAGATATTTTTTAAAAAATTATTTTGGTAATAGCCTGCTATGTCTGGCAATCAATTTGACCACAGAAAGCTATCCATGAAGTATAATAAGTAATGTTCCCTTTCTCTTGATAGTTTACAGGCAATGAAAGTTTGTTAACTAAATGCATCTGGTTTAAGGACAACTCCGGATACTCTCTAGCAATGGTCACATGCTAAATTAGGCACAAATATGGTCTGTGTAAGTAGGCTGACAATCTGTACTCCTGTATAGTTATTCATAGGTAAATGGAATGTTTATATGTTTATGTGGGGTTTCTGGGTTTACATTTCTGTTGCAGTATCTAAGCTTCCTGATTCATAGACAGTAGAAATAAGGAATCTGGCAGTCTCAATCTCATCGCTAGGTCCAAATAGAATAGATCTGTTGAATCAGCTAGATTTAGATAAGTGTGGCCTGATATTTAGCAATTTATTCTGCCCTCTTTGGGACAGGCAATATGATTTTGTCGAGGTATATTATGGAAGGATGACATTATTCGTAATTTCTCTCTTCCTACTTGATTCCCAAAATAGGGCCTAAGAAGCAGGACCTGTACAGTGTTGAGTTATCTAGAAAAGTTGTTCATGCTATTCTAATGTTTATGAATATAAGTAATCCAGATTTGTAGAATGTTGTCCACTTCGAGTTTCATCTCAGGCTTGTCTGTTGCTGCTCTGTCCTGGGCTGGAAAGCAGCCACAGGTCTCATCCTACAACTTTTTAGCTTCAAAGAAAGTTGATCTGCACTCTTGTTTAACAAGATTCTTATACTTGAGTACAAATTAGAAATGAGCACAGCGACAGAGGCTGTCACAAACATCTGAACAAGAATACATGTTGTGTGAACACATGTATACATGCAGTTTGAACACATTATGTTCTGTTTCTCCTACAGACACTCCACCATGCAAACTTTTGCTGAATATCTTAATAACAAAAAGTGCTGTTTGGAAGCCAGCCATTCCTTCCTTCTTTTCAACGAATTTCCCACTCAGCTTCAAGTTGGATTTTTTTTTAAAAAAAAAATCACTTCTTGGCATTTCCCAAGGTTTTATCCATCTCACCAAGCAGTGGGGGGCAAAACCCTTTTCCCAATCAGAAAGAAAGAAAGAAAGAAAGAAAGAAAGAAAGAAAGAAAGAAAGAAAGAAAGAAAGAAAGAAAGAAAGAAAGTACATTGGAGAAAAGTAAGTACATTGCCAGGAAGACGGCCATTTAACCTACTCCACTGATTCTACTCCTAAACACAGAACTGCCTCGATGCTTCTCCAGACCTTTGGTTTCAGGTCTGGAGGTGACAGATGGGAGTTGTTGTGCCTCCAAAGTAGGGTTCTTAGGTGAATAGAACTTCCATATTCAAGAGCAGAAGCACAAGGTAATTAAGGTTGCAGTTTAGTGCCTAATTCCATAGTAAGCCCTACTGAATTCAAGGAGACACCCCGCAGTTCATTCTAGTGCTAAAACAAAGTGCTAACCTGAGGAGAGCCCAGTTACATGACACTGGCCAACCTCTCTCCTTCTCTCTCTTTCACAAGCCTGAATGCACAAAGACTTTCCAAGTGTCCCACAGACACAACAAGGAGGGGCCGCATCCCTCTTAGGGCCCTGGCTGCCCCCTTTAGCCCCTGCCAGGCCCTTCCTTCAAGGGCCTGTCAGTTCCCCAGAAGGCCAAGTTCTCCTTTTCCATCTTTCTCTCCTGTCTTTCTCTCCAGATCCATCCCGGGCAAACGCGAAAAGAGCCAGGGCGACAGAAGAAGAAGCAACCCGGGGCCCGATCCTTCCCTTGGCAAGTCCTTACGACTCGCACCCTCGACGCTTTGGACAAGCCCGGAAAAGTTCCCCTCGCAACTCCAACCCTGTCAAAAGTGCCACTTTGCTCCGTTTTCAGACGCGCTGCGTGGCGCAGGGGGCGGGGGGGGGGGGGGGGGGGGGCAAATTAACCCCTTCCTTCCCAACTCCGCCAACATGTTCTCCCCCGCCCCGAGCCCGGCCCGCCCCGTCCAGGGACAACCAGAGAGGAGGAAAGGAGACCAGGTGCGCTTTCTCTCTCGCTCTTACCGCTCGAGCGCCGGACGATGTTCTCCAGAAAGGTATTCTGTGGTGCCACCAGCCCTCGCTTGCCCCCCGGCATCCTGCGGCTGCAGAGCCGGGCTCTGGGGCCAAGGGGTCGCAGCGGCAGGGGCGGCGAGGAAGAGGAGGGGGATCTCGGACGGTGTCTGGAAGCGCCCAGGGCCGTCGTGGAGTCGCGGTGGGAAAGCGGGCGAGGCAGTTCATGGTAGTGGCGCTCCCGCGGCCGGTGAAGCCCGGACTGTGGCAGCAACGCCGCGCTCACAGCTCGGGAAATGCAGGCTCAGCCGATCCGGGGAGGATTGCGCCTGCGCGGCGGCGGCGGCAGAGGCGGCGGCGGCGACCCACCGGCTCCAAAAGTCTAACCACTGTGTCATTTAAGCTCTTCTGCATCACCCTACAAACACAGTTTTAGTCAGGGTGAATAAAAATTTGATTTAATTCACGATTTCTGTCTTTTAAAAACTGATTTTTTTAAAAAAAAAATCAGAAAAAAATCAAAAATTTAAATTTAAATTAATTTTGATGTAAATCAAATCTGCCCTGGTTTTAATAAATCATTACACTATACATTTTGTGGGGATAATTCTTTAGATCTGCGCTAATCTCTGCTCAGAACAGGCAACAGGATACGCAGAGAGATGTTCGCTTGTTAATCTGGAAAAACCAGGCTGGTAGTAATGATCAATATTTTTATGCTGTAGGTGAGTGTTCAGAAATTCATGGCAGGCTCAAGCCCTCTATGCCTGTCTTCCAGGTACATGACTGACACCCAGCCATGCTTCTAGCGTCATTAGATTAGTGGCGTCCTGTAAACACACAGCCTTAATTTCATTCCTCCATCCAGAGATTGATTTTGACCTTTATGGGGTGGATACAGGGATTTTTCTCTGCTCCAAAAAAGGCGGGCATGATGAGAAACACCTCTTCAGAATTGGTCTCATCACTGCAGGTAATCAGACGGAGCGCTTGAAATCATTTCGCCGCATGTTTTCCATCTCGGTCTGCCTACAAGCTTTCTCTCGGCGGGGGGGGGGGGGACGCGGAAAAGGCTGTGTCTGTGTGTGTGAATGAGTGAGTCGGTGACACCCCGGAGATCCTCACACCTCCTCCGCTGGGATCGGGAAAGAGGACCGATCTGGCCAAAGGTAGATCAACTTGATCGAGATTGGATTGGAGGGACGGGGCACCGACACCTCTCCACCGCCTCTCCCTAAAGAAGTGGGTCCCTGAGCGGCTGAAGCGGACCTGGCAGGTCCCTGAAATCCGTGGATGCTCAGCGATGGGAGGCGGAGTGCTGCCAAGCTCCGACCCAGTCCGATCCTCCGACCCAGCCCGACCCGGGATCCTTCTCTTCGAGGCCCCGAGGTGGACTCTCAAAGTTCGTC